ACTGTTGCTCTCCCTCAATTCCCCAAATAAAATCTTAAAAAGAAAAAGAAAAAAACCTAGAAGGTTAAACGTCAAAATGTTAACAATAATTAACAGTAATTTCCATCCTCACTCATTCAAAAATATTTATTGGGCATCCATTATGTGCTACATAGACAGTCCATGTCCTCAGGTACACTATACTTGAGTTAAAAAGACACATAAAAACAAATAAATATTCAAATAATTTCCATTTTCATGAGGTTATTATAAGAGTATATGTAAAGCAGGAAATTGTCTTTTTTATAATTTCACTATTTTTCAAAACTGAAACATTACACAACTACTTTTATAAGCAATACATGATAATAGAAAGAAGATAACCATCTGAGTATAACCTCTGGCTAGTCTCCTTTCATTTCCAAAATAATCTCCTTGATCTAAAGGTATTGGTTTATCAAGCATGAAAAATGTACACTACTAAAACAGCTTTTAAATAAAATACTTTTTGCACACATACTAAAAATAACATTCTCTACTGCTGCAGCTCCCCAATATGGAGGCGTTTCAGAAGCTCCATGAGTCCCTGCCTTGAGGCTTAGGATGACGTACAACTACACAGTTATTCAACTGAAGCCGCTTAGAACACAAACTGGCATATTTTTTGTTGTTTAGAGGCTAGTCACGGGAACTCCCAGTCTCTACTACCTATTTTATGACTGAGAAAAGCATGAACCCAATTTAGCCAAAATGCCAAGTACTTACCTTAAGAGCAATGTTTTGATTTGAAAGTTCCAGAATTTCTGTGACTACATCTTTTTGACACAATGAGCTACAGTACCAGACCTTATCAATATGAAAAATATAACAGCATTACTTATGTATAATTAATTAATCACATGTTGCAGTAAATTCAATAGTTATTTACAATTGAATTTCCAAGTTAGTCAGTCAGAATCCTTTTACTATAAACCAAAACAAGCTGTTTTAACAAAATAATAGAGACTGAGAATGTAGAAAAATAAACTTTAGTGTCCCCAATGTGTACAAGGAGGTAATATTTTTAAAAGAGAGAAAACAACAAAAGGGACATTCTCCAGCATTTCAATGGCATTATATTAATAAAGTGGCTTCGAGTGAAGGGAGACAAGGAAATATTTACATTCCCCCAACCACTGGTACATCAGGCATGAGCCCTTAAAATAATAAGCTTAAGATAAGTGAGCAGAGGCCGGCCGAGTGGTGCGCTGGTTAAGAGCTGGCTTGGGACACCAGCTCTGAGCAGCAGGGCCCCAGTTCAGATCCCACATGGGGGCCAGTGACACTGCCCTCTACAGCTAAGATGCTGAACAACAGCTCAACCTGGAGCCGGGCTGCCGTGAGTCACCGGCAACGGCGTAGGCTGCAGCCCCTGCTGCAGTGAGCTGCCATAAGCTACTGTGTGTGGCCAGCAGCCAGTGTGAGCTGCCAAGAGCTGCCGTGAGCGGCTGTCCAATGGCCGGCGACCTAGCTACCTCACCCAGGAAAA